CGCCCCCGCCCCCCACCCCCATTTCCTCCTCCTCCTCCTCCATCATATATATGTTGTCGGCCATCTGCCATATCTGCAGTATGTTGTCCTCCGCCACGCTCGCCACCACCCAGGGGTCCTCCTCGTTCCAGGCCAAGTCGCTGACCTTGGCCGTGTGCCCCCCGTGGATGAAGAGTAACTCGGGCGGGCCGTCCGCGGCGTCCTCCTGAGACTGTTCCTCCCCAATCTTGGCAATATCCCACACGTTCACGCGTCGGTCCGCGCCGCAGGAGGCGAAGACGTTCTCGTGGAATGGCGCCCACTTGACCTGGAAGACCTCGTCCTCGTGGCCCTCGAAAGTATGCAGAGGGGCACTCAGACTCCGAAGGTCCCAGAGCCGCACGCTCCGATCCGCCGAGCCCGTCAGGAACAAGAAGTCCGAGTGGGGGGAGAAGGAGAGGCAGTTGACAAAGTCCTCGTGGGCCCCTGCCCGGGCGTGGGAGGGCTGGCTCCCGCTTTCCCGGACGTCCCAGAGCGCCAGGCTCTTGTCGTCGCTGACGGAGCCGAAGAGATGCGGGTGGGCGCTGTGCCATGCCACGTCCTCCACCACCGAGGTGTGCCCCCGGAAGACTCGCACCTCCTCCACCATCCTCCCCGCCTGGGTCATGTCCCAGAGACAGACGCGCGCGTCGTCGCTCCCGCTCAAGAGCTGCCCGGGGGCCGCAGGCGACCAGGCCAACCCGTAGCCCTCGCGCGCGTGCCCTTTGCAAACGTGCTCGGGCCGGAAGCTGTCGTTGGGTCCGGGGGCGGACGGGTGTTTGGTGATGTCGAAGACGAAGACGTCGGCGCTCGGGCCCTTGGTGGCGACCACGAAGGGGTTCTGCGGCATGTATCGGGCCCGGTTCACCTCCCCCTCGTGCGCGATCTTCACCTTCACCTCCACCTTGCAGTTCATACCTCCGAAGCCCCCCACCTCCCCGCGTTCGTCCTCGTACTTCTTGGCGTCGATCTCTGTGTCCGGTAAGGGCAAGTTCACGTTGGCTTGAATTAGGTAGTTCTGTTCCCCCGCCGCGGTGTGCGTCCCAAACAAGAGCTTGTGCGTCGCGTATTCAGGGTTGTTCTCCGCCGTTTTTACACCAGGAAGCCATTGCACGGTCAGTGACGGCCATTCCAGGGCGTGTGTCATGACTAGGTCGTAAAGAAATGGGGAGTTCTTTTTCCAGATCCTGCAGGCACCCGGGAGAGGAGGAAAAGGATGTCGAACAGGGTCAAAGGCCACGACAAAGCAACAAGGAAATCACGACGAAAAATACCAGACCAAAACAATAGACGAAAGAGCGTACATTGACAGGTGCACGGTGGGATAAAGCAGAAAGGTTGAGGAAAGGGAGGGGTAGGAGAAAACACCGCGTGCTCCGCCCCAACCACGCGAGCCTCCAAGCCAATTGTACGGATCAGTCATCCTACTGAAACAACGTACTTGTACTCCTCGGCAATCATCTTGTCTTGAGCCTCGTCTTGCCTCTCCTGGTCTGGAGCGTCCGTCTCCGCCATGGTGCTGCCTCCTGGCTCTTCGCACGCACTTCCTTTGCCTTTTTTGATACAGAATGATTTTCGAGAGGATATATGAGCAGAAAAGTATGACAGACTGGATCGCTGTGCCGCCATAGGGGGTGTGCTTGCCCTTGAGACGCGATTTTTGCGTTGATCTCGCTGGCTTTCTATGGCCGAGTTTCGAGTCGCCAGAGGGGAGAAAAAGCGAGGGAAAGCGATTCGCAGAGACAGCTTGAGTGTCGCTGGCCGCGCCTAGCACCGGAGGCACTGCAACCCAAAAGGACGCAGGACATCTTGCAAAATAGACAGCCACAAAACTCATACGGAAATTCACTGCATGGCATGTGAGCCGCTGATTTGACCACAACGCGCGAATGACTCTCCTTTCCCGACTGTGCAGTTGGGCAAGATGATGACGTACCCCTTTCCAATCACATTTGTTCTCCTTTCCAACAATAATATGACAAGGCAATACCAGCAGTTCGCATCTACCTCGAAGTACACTATTTAATTAAGCTGGTGCTTGCCACGCAAGGAGCCAAACTTGGCTGGGTGCCTATCCCTGTCCAGGATATTCTTTACAGCGCATGAGAAGTGATCGAAATAGCGATGGAGGGTTTGCTGAATATGTATGACACCTCTGACGAGGACGGGAATAACAGTGATGCGGAGGCACGCAACAAGGCCGTACTTGACGACAGGGTTTCCTATACCCCCCTTTTCCTTGGAACTGCCGCCCGTGCTGATCCTCCCTCCTCACCTCCCCGTAAGCAACCCGTTTTGAATTCCTTTCATCGCGCTCAAAGAGCCTTGACGACTGTCCAGAAGCGACCCCGTCCCTCCTTCAACTTGCCAGGACCCGATCAAGACTTCTTCCATGTCTCGGCAGAACACGTGTACACCACGGTATTGACCAACGGGAAACGCCGAAGCCTTCCGGCCCGCCGAGCTCCGTCGTCCTCCTCCTCCTCCTCCCGCTCCGACGGCCAGCCTCTTGCCTCGGTATCCACCGTAGATTGGATTCGAAGCGTCCCGCACTTTGAAGGGAACTGGGCAACGCACGTGTACGTCACCGTGCCCAACACCAGGGAGGTGGTGCGAATGGCGAAGGCATGCGTTCAGGAGGCTCGGCGGCGGTTGAGGAATGTCCTCGGCACCGAGACAGGAGGCGAGGAAGGACGGCAAGAAAAGAAGGAGCTGGTCGAGAACGACTTGAACCCGATCCCCTCGGCCGACTCTTCGGATGAAGACGAGGAGGAGGAGGAGGGGGCGGGGGAGGAGGAAGGGAGAGAGCGCCGACATCTTCCTTCGGACCAGGAGGCGTCCGGGCAGCACCTCAGCCTCTCTCGCACCGTCTATCTCCGCTCTTACCACATGGAGCCGTTCGTGGCCGATCTGGGCAAGGCCTTGGCGTGGGCCAGGGCCTTCACCTTCAGGCTGGCCTGGCGCCGAGGACGAAGGGGGGGGGAGGGTTTGCTCGTGAACGATGACAGGTCTCGGTCCTTCGTGACGGTGCCTGTGGAGGAAGGGGGGGAAGGGCGGCTCCGTCAGCTGGTGCAGAGCGTGGACGAGGTCTTGGTCAAGTATCGGCAGCCCCCTTACTACCGCGGGGCCCTTTTCCACATCTCTGTGGCCGCTGTGAAGGGAGACGTGTCGGAGGCCTG